GATGGACATTCTATTTCTTTATCCTCAGTAATCTATCTGTGTTCTAATCTTCATGTAATGTTCTGATAAAAGTACCAGTGAATAAAGAACACAAACTTTTAAGGTCTTCCCCCATCAGATGTTTGGAGCCCATCAGGAGAATAAAACAAGATACCTACAGAGATTCATACATGAGATAACCCTAAGAATGTATGTCAGATACAAATCTTTTGGAATAGCTGATTTAATTAACTATTGAAGCAGGATGCTCTTTTTTGGTAACTTGTTGGCTCCAGACATTGGATTTTCCTTTGTAAAATGTATCTTGATAATTATTGTCAATGCAAATGGGATTATGACGTTCATGGCAGTTTGTGGAACTCTCTCCTTTAGTAGTTTTGCATAATTATAACTTTTCAAAGCCAGAACTTGAAGATTTATCAATATTGCCATCTAAGGATCTCTTTTAGACTGCACAATCAAGAACTAGACACAACAAATTCTTAAATGTCAGCACTGAAACTTGGAGTGCCGTGGTTTCCCATGTTAATACACAGACTGAGGGATCTGGTCAGGGATCAAATGTCAGAGTGACTGACTACAGGAAATTAAACTGGTTAAAAGGGATGCCAAAATAAAATCATAACAACTCACTTTTTCCCATCCTAGAAATCTTTACACATCGTACGAATAAACACGAAATACAAATTTAAAATAATTTTAAGGTCAAATGAAGCTGAAGAAAGCCTCAAAGGGCCTAGGACTTAAACACAAGGGTGGCAATTAAAGGAGAGGAGTGTGGCTTTTGCAGCCACAGCAACATTAGGGTGGGAATTGCGGGGGTGCACTGCCTTAGTGGCAGCTGCTGGAGGTGTCGTATAGTATAGGTACCCTGTATAGTCCCAATACAGGTTGTGTGCCCCACAGAAGCAAACTCAGAAGTGGCACCTATAAAAAGGTTTCAATATAAACTCCCGTCAGTGCTGGACTCTGAGGCCTGGTCTACACTGAGTTTAATTCGAATTTAGCAGCGTTAAATCGAATTAACCCTGCACGCGTCCACACAACGAAGCCATTCATTTCGAAATAAAGGGCTCTTAAAATCGATTTCTGTACTCCTCCCCAACGAGGAGAGTAGCACCGAAATCGATATTGCCATTTCAAATTAGGGTTAGTGTGGTTGCAATTCGACGGTATTGGCCTCCGGGAGCTATCCCACAGTGCACCGTTGTGACTGCTCTGGACAGCAATCTGAACTCGGATGCACTGGCCAGGTAGACAAGAAAAGCCCCACGAACGTTTGAATTTTATTTCCTGTTTGCCCAGCGTGGAGAGCACAGGTGACCACAGAGAGCTCATCAGCACAGGTAACCATGCAGTCCAAGAATCGAAAAAGAGCACCAGCATGGTCCGTACGGGAGGTACTGGATCTGATCGCTATATGGGGAGAGGATTCAGTGCTAGCAGAACTACGTTCCAAAAGATGAAATGCCAAAACTTTTGAAAAAATCTCCAAGGGCACAATGGAGAGAGGCCACAATAGGGACTCAGAGCAGTGCTGCGTTAAAGTTAAGGAGCTCAGACAAGCCTATCAAAAAACAAAGGAGGCAAACGGTCGCTCCGGGTCAGAGCCGCAGACATGCCGCTTCTACGCTGAGCTGCATGCAATTCTAGGGAGGCTGCCACCACTACCCCACCTCTGACCGTGGATTCCAAGGCGGGGGTAATCTCAGCCACACCTGAGGATTCTGTGGACAGGGAAGAGGAGGACGAGGACGAGCTTGCGGAGAGCACACAGCACTCCGTTCTCCCCAACAGCCAGGATCTTTTTCTCAGCCTGACTGAAGTACCCTCCCAACCCTCCCCAGGCAGTATCCAAGACCATGACCCCATGGAAGGGACCTCAGGTGAGTTTACCTTTTAAAATATAAAACATGGTTTAAAAGCAAGCGTTTTTTAATGATTAATTTGCCCTGAGGACTTGGGATGCATTTGCGACCAGTACAGCTACTGGAAAAGTCTGTTCAAGTGTCTCCATGAAGCTCTCCTGGAGGTACTCCAAAAACCTTTCCACAAG